CGAACAAACGGACAGAAGCGGCAGCGGCAACAAAGCAGAAAGAGAAAGGAGGAAACGACCGGAGAAAAAATGACTAAACCGCAGCTCGGGCTCATACCACGTAATGCGCGACCGCACCTTGCCGAACAGCCTGTGTCGCAACTTTCAACATACCCGAACCAATCCACCCGGATGCGGTGTCGCGAGAGGCGAGGAAACTACGGAGTGGAACTTTGGCAGCGGTAGCGGGCGGTAGCGCAGGGCCCTTGCAGCCGGCAGTCCATCAGGCCACCTCCAGGGCCAGCGCGGTCGAGGTGCAGAGATCCTCACATTCCTCGAGCCCCGGGGGGAACAGGAGGGACGGGGCCCGACTAAGAGAGGCAGCGGACAGTTGCCAAGACTCGACAAACTCCGAGGGGAAACGCTTGAAGTCGAAGGTGGGTGCACACGCCAGTGCCGTCGAGGATCACCCCAGGCCCGCCGGGCTACCAACCTCAGGGCGATGGGGGATGCCATCGCCTGAAACCTGCAGCTCACTGCGGGGGGGTGCGGCTGACAGCCGCGGGGAGTGGGAGAAAACTCCATTTGGACGCCCAGCAAGGGCATGCGTAGCAGGGGCGGATTGGGGGGTACGGCCGCGCTTGCTAGGTCGGTTGGGGGGGCGGCTGGCCGCCGCAGGACCCGGAGAAAACCTTCTGCGGCGGTGCGCTTCGCCGGAGACAAGCCGACGCCAGGCTGGGGTGCAGCTGGCAGCCGCAGAAGAATAGGAGAGGTAACGCCAGAGACAAGTTACAACCCGGCAAGAGTGCAGCAAACAACCGTGGTGGGAAGGGGGAAACATCGCCTGAGACATGCTGGCGCACTGGCAGGGTGCAGCTAACAGTCGCATGAACGAAGGAAATCAAGATCGCCTAGTTCTCTGGTAGGGAGCAGCTAACAACCGCAACAAGTGGGAAAAGGTAGACCTCACCTGAGACATGTTGGGCCGGAGGTGGGCCGACGACCAGCGGCGGGGATGGAGCTGGCGGCCGCAGATTGAGTGGGGAGGTCCAGCCTGGGGAAACCAGAGCTGGAGTGCAGTTGATTGCTGCAGAACGCTGGATGATGTCGTCGCCTGAGACAGAGGTCCTCATGCTTCGCGCTTGCACCGTATGAGACTGCCCGGTGCTCTGGTAGGGTGCAGCTAACAGCCGCAAGAATGTGGGAATAAATGCTTTCGCCTGAGATATGCTGGTGGTCTGCCTGGGAGCGGAAAGCGGGGGGTAGCCGAATGCCGTCCACAGCCAAGGCTGGTGGGGATACGTTTTTTGGTCGCGGGCGGACGCGGATTCGCAGTCGCCGAGCTGAGAGGTCCGGGCCAAACTGGTGGGGATATTTTTTGTTGCCGCGGGCAGACGCGTGAAGCAGTCGCCGGGAGGGGGTCCAGGGCACGGGCCAGCCAAATTGGCACTGGTGGGGATTGATATATATATATATATATATATATATATATATATATAAATTTGAGAAGAAGAAATTTGTTTGATTAACAAAAAAAACGCAGGCGGAAGCGCCGGCGGCGAGCAATCACGGTCGGGCTGCGGCCGCGACTAAATTCCTGGGCGCGCGCGGGAGCCGCGGATCAGGCGGCGAGGGGGCAGCAACCCAGGGCGCCGGGGAGGCCAGGCGGTCGTGCAATCCCAGGGAGTCTGAAAGGTCAGTCGCCTGAAGCGGTCGTGCAAGCTGCAACCCAGGGAGTCTGAGAGGTCAGCCACCCAGGAACAAGCCAGGCGCGGCCAAAATGGCGCGCAGTGCATTCCCGGTCGTGATCGTGTCGAGACAACCGCGAGGTAGGGAACGATCTCCGTGCGAGAAAGTCAGTCCAGGGAGTCTGACGGGTATGCGCAGACTGAAACTGGTGACGTCGTCCAGCAGGAGGGGGGTTCTGACAGCGCCAGCGAACCGTCGCAGCATCAGAAAACGCATCCGTGGCGGAAGGGGAAGCCTAAGGCCGAACAGGCAAAGGCGAGACCCGACCCACTGCTGAGCGATGCGCCTGCGTTCAGAGGACCAGCGATCTAGTCTGGACGCAGCAGGGGCACACAGGTAGCCACTCTGTGAGAACGCGAGGTCGCTCGGGAATGGACGTGCACCGAACAACTATGTGACCTAGCGCCAGGCGACCCACACACCCATGTGGGGAAGCGCTCGAAGGACAGCAACCGTCGTATACCCAAGACAGCAAGTCCCTCACAGCCGCAGAGTCCCAGGGAGAAACGCACACCTGAATGCGCGGGAGAGCAACGAAAAAGGACCGAGTGCCCGTCATACTCCGAAACCGTGCAGCGCAGTCAGAATAGTGACGCACGGCATCGGTGGGCGGCGCTAATCAAGTGAGGTCATCGGCCCAGTGCGAGTGGGGCGCAGGCGGACAAGGTGGGCATTCCGCAAACTCGGCGCAACGACCCACGACGCTGGACTGCCCGTACCTCCGTGTCTCGCGTTGCTCCCAGGAGAACGAGGTAGGCACGGCTGAAGGCCGTAGTAACTTGGAGATCCCAGGGAGTTGAGCGCAGGTCTGGGGACGGGGCGAAAACCGCCAGGTCGTAGGCCACAGGGCTGCGCGCCAGGCTTGGCCTGGCAGGGTGAAAACAGCTACAGTGGGGCCAGGGGCCACTATGGCCACACGCAACACGAGATTGCAGTGTGGACGGTATTGCTGGCACACATACTTGGGTCCAAAGGCAGGAAGTGCGCGTGCCAGGAGGGGCGGCAGGATGCCGCAAGCTGGGTCTGTAGTCCAAGGAGCGGCTGAAGGCCGCTGTCTGATGGAGAATCCCAGGGTACAAGCACGTCTCAGGAGTGGGCCCCGGTCGGTCCCAAAGCAGCATAGCCGAGCACAGGACCATTCGGGCCACTGGTGAGAACCACTACAGCGGGGCCAGGGGCCAGCTAGGGTCTGCGAGCTACGCCCCCCCACGCAGCGAGGCAGATGGTATTGCTGGTCGGCACACTTGGGTCCAAAGGCAGGAAGTGTGTGGACCAGGGAAGGGGGGCAGCGGGGCTGCCACACGGTTGAAAGAGAAGGTAGGGCAGCTGAAGGCCGCACGTAGTGTGTAGTGAGATTATCATTTCGGGCTGTCAAGGCGCTGGATGTATGGGAAGTGAACTCAGTCTCTCCATCGGTGTCTCTTTTCGTCTCGTTCGTCGGGTCTGCCTCCACCACGCTTGCCACCCGTCTGCCAGCGATCATCGTGCCAGCCTTCACTCCAGTCGTTCTGCCAAGTACCCCAGGTGTCCCAGGAGCTTGTCGCACGGTCTCGCCAGCTGCTCTGCTGGAGGTTGCATTTGCCCCTGCCGTCGGGTCGGGTGTGTCGCAGGTAGTCGGCGCGCAGTTTGCCCCAGTCAATGCGATAGCCGTACCTCGTGTCCATCAGGTAGGCGTTGTACCCGCAGCCCTTCCAGTCGTCGAGAAACTTGTTGATGGTCGCTTCCGTGAACAGTCTCGGGTCTGATTTGGGCTCCCTGGATCCAGGGAGCCAAATGCGCTGCGTGTAAGCGGTCCACAGCGCGCAGAAAACTGCACCCAACTCCGACTGGTACCTGGCGAGGCGTTTGGCGGGTGGCTCGGCGCGACGCTCCAAGTCCGCAGTGCCCAGCCAGACCTTGTACATGGGGCCCCCATGTGAGTCGGTCAACAGGTTGAGCGTATGGCGCTCCGTCGAACGAGGGTAGGTAGGTCTACTGGTGGGGATTTTTTTTACAGCCGCAGGCGGAAGCGCCAGCGGCGGAAGGTCGCGAACGGGCCGCGGACGCGACTAAATTACCTAACGCGCGCAGGGCCGCGGATCAGGCGGCTCACGGCAGCGTCCAGGGGGGCGAGGCCGATGCAATCCAGGTGCCAAGACAGCCCCTGAACGGGCACGCAGGTGCGTCCAACAAGCCTGAGGTAGGCACCGAGACGACCAAGCGCAGCCAAAATGGCGCGATAACGTTCCAACGTCCAGGTGCGGACAAGGGAACGACCCGAGGACGTCAGCACCAGCCTGTCGGGTAGCACAGACGACGGGGAGGTAAGTCCAGCGAGGATCCCGACGGCGGCAGCGAGCCGCGGCGCCAGAACGACATCAAGGTGTGAACATGTTCCGAGAAGACGAAACTGGTGGGGATACGCGAAGCGTCTAGAAATTGGTCATCCTTACTCGGCGACTTGACTGCAGTCTGTCTCCAGGTTCGATGCAGAAGGGACGGCCACCACGCTGGCGAAACGCCCGCTGAGAGCTCGGGATGGCAGGGCGCACGCCTGTTATGCCTCCGCCGGCGATGTGAAAGCAAGAATGCGCGCGTGCCTGTTCACCGATCTGCTCGATGGTCCGCCGACAGAAGGGGAGGCCCTGCACGCGCGAGCCCCTTTTACCTGACAGTAAAAACAGCTGCAGTCTAACACCGATGTCATGATGCAGGCGCCGCCAACCGTCTGTTGGAGGAGATACGCGGCGTAGGAAACAAAGGCGAGGGGAGCGCGAGTCATGACTACATCTTTCAAAAACATGAGACCCTCCGCGGGCCAAAACACACAGAACATCCTGGCCTACCCTCCCCAGGATGCACAAGAACATCCAACAAGCACGAAGAACCTTAGGGTACCCTCCCCGAGCCGACGTCGATCTCATACTTCGGTCCGACTGTATCCGGGGATCCTGTTGAGGCCCGTCAGAGGCCAGCCAAGACTGCCTGGGAGGGCCGTCCGTGCGCAGCCCGAGGCCTCACGAGGTCTGCGTCCGCTGATCGCTGATTTCTGGGAGGACGAGGTGGTCGTATACGCCACGAGAAACTATACGAAGGCACCCTCCGACGAACGTTGCGTGTACCTTCAGGGAGGGGGCGGTGCATAAAGACGCTGACTCTCACTGGTGTCTTATACACCACCACCCTGAACTGAGGCTCAGGAACAAACCATTGGAGGGTGTCTGTGCATTTTTGCTTGTGGCGGATTGTATTGAACAGCGCTAGAATGAAGGAGCAGCAGACAAAAGCGGTACACTGCGGCGTCTGGAGCGCCAGCGTCGCTGTCGTCATCGCTTGACTGCTGCATGGTCTGCATCAGCGAGGACAGCTTGCTGGCAGCGGGTTGCTTTCTGGCGGCCAGCATTACTTTCGGCCAGGAAAAAAACATAATTCCAAAGGTACCCCGCTACTCCCCAAACCTCTCCTGGGGTGCGTTCTGACCGGAATTCCGAGGCAAACCCAGAAGTGTCGCCGGAGGCCTCCCAGGAGGCCCAACACAAGGGGAAAACGAAAGGAGGTAGAGGTATGGGTACCTATTCCTCCTCTGAAGGCAGGGTGAAAAGGGCCCCCTCGTCGCCATGGCTGGGCGCAGCTCGAAAAGCTTGTCCGTTTCGATCCTGGGAGGGGTCTGGGGACAGATTGTGACCGGACTTGCCTTCGCCGTCCCCTCTTGACCGATCGAGAGAGCAGACGATCTACCCTCACAAACAATCACCCCGACACGCGAAGTCGTTAGATAGACGCACCAAAAAACAAAATCGAACAGGGCAAGGCTGTTCAGTAAACGCCCGGGGCCGTTTCGCAAACGCCACTTGTCGGGGTCCAGGTGGTTTCCTCCCTTGCCGTCCAGCGCAGACCCCCTGGCCTCTTCCCAGCTACATCTCGGGCCTGATTGGGGCAGACTCCTGTCATCTCTCCGACCTCATCTGCCTGCCTTGAACGGCAAAGACTCGCCCCGTGAGCGACTGTGATTATGGAATCGTCGTGATACGACGAGGACGGTATGGCCACGCGGAGCCTCGGCCACGAAGAGGCGCCCCGTCCTGGAGCTAATGACAGGCCACAACACTCGAGCCCCTCCTGAGCCCCTGAGTGGTTCTTATTTTTGTTGGCGGCGCACAGGGGGGGGGGAGAGGACGAGGGGGCGAGGCTTCGTAGGAGGCTGCTTCTTGGACGGCGCCAGCATGACATCTGCAGAGAAGGCCCGCGCCTTCCAAGATGCAGGGGCGCTTAAGACGCCTTCCCCCCTCCCCCATCCCCTTCTGCGCGTGGCTGGACTTTAGCGTGTTCAGTGCACCTTTTGCATGCGCGCAGGAGCAACACTATGCACAGACCAGACAATAATCGCGACCACACTGCCTGTCTTGGGTAGCTCGTGGCTTCTTGTCTCGGTGCAGGTGCTCGCGACGACTTGCGCGCTGGCTTCTGACCCCGCGGGGACCGCTCAACCTTGCGCGATCGCAGCTTTCAGATGGGGCAGATCGTTGGCTATCGGCCGACTCTGGGTCACTAGCGGCATTCAAACTCGAACGCCCGTGCTGGGGTCGAAGCATTACCTCTCATCTTTGTATAGCATTGCAAACTCGGAGATCCTGGCGTCGGTGGAGCTAATCAGGGAGGCCTGCACCATCACGGAGAGTGCCTCGCCGGCGCAGCTGCTTGCCGCCTGCTGCTCCCGCTGCAAGAACGAACTCCTCTTCACCAGACACTCCGACGAAACGGATGTTAGGATACAGCAGATACTCGTATGAACGAGTAACATCTACTATGCCCGATTGGGAGGCCATTCAGCCGCATTTGCCCAACTGCAAAACCCAAATTTAAGCCAGATCTAGCGGGATTAACAGGAATCAAGCGGGATGATTGTGGATTTGGCCTGTGCTTGACCACGAATCTACCAGCGCCGATGCTGAAGTCAACCTCCGAGAAGATGCATCATAATACTCCTTCATAACCGCGCGCGAGGCAGAGGGGTCCAACATCGACATGTTTTGGCGGCCCGCCATGTTTCCCCTACTTCTGTGCAAGCGGGAACGCCACAGTGCACATCCAGATGCGGAGGGGGACGAACAAACTGAGGCCTGATGAAAACTCGTTCTCGACATCTCTTGGCCACGACCGCTGTGCTTCGTCAAGACATCGAAGTATCTGGGGAGGGCAGATTGAAAAACCTGCGGCTCTCCCGCACGGCCCAAATTCGAACAAAATCGGTTCATGGACTGCTCCCAGGGGAAATGCCGACCCGTTGTCCGAGGCAGATCCAGCCACAGCGACGAGGGGGAGGAGGAAGGAGGGCAGAGGGAGGAGGGAGGAGGGAGAAGGGAGGAGGAGGAGGAGGAGGAGGTGAGGAAGAAGACGAGGAGTAGGAGGAGGAGGAGGAGGCGGAGAAGGAGGAACAGGAGGAGGAGGAGGAGGAGGAGGAGGAGGAGGAGGAGGAGGCGAAAGGGGAACAGGAGGAGGAGGAGGAGGAGGAGGAGCTCCAGGCGGGCCCACAAGCTGATAAACACCACGGATGGCCGCCGTTGTCTCGACTGGCCCGGCCTCCGGTGAAGGGGGTAACGGGGGGACCAGCTCAGGGGGCGGAAGCGCGGAGCTGGAACTCGTGATACATCGCAAATAGTAGTATCGGCGAGAACTGGGCGTCCAGGATGGCCAAGGAGGCCCCCAAGACGCCCCAAGAAAGTTCCAACGTCCCCCGAAGAGGATCCCGAGAGGCCAACGTTCTTTGAAGGATCTTGGCATTCTCGCCCTGTCACGCTTCCGACGCTCCAAGATCGCTCGCAGGGGCCCCCAGGATCGCCCCAGGAGGCCTCTTCGAGGCGGTCCCACGACGGCCCATGCGCGCCCCAAGACAGCCCAAGAGGGCCCTCCACCTCAAGACGGCCTCCGACCGCCAGCAGGCTCCCGATCAGCCCCCCAGACAGGGGGCCACATGCGAACCCTACCCCTACCCCTACCCCGCACGATTTCTCAGGAAGAGGGTGGGGTTCACTTCGCTTGGGAGCTCTCGAGCGAAGTGATCACCCTCCTCCTCTGAAATCTTGCGGGGTAGGGGTAGGGGTAGGGTTCGCACGTGGCCCCCTATCGGGGGGGAGCCCCCGGAGGCCTCCAAGAATCCCACGGCACCGGGCGACGACGTCTTCACGCGCCCGCCGCTCCCTGGCAGGGGGCCCCTCCTGAACCCCCGGCGGCAGCGCACGCGCCACGCCCGTCTGGCTCGGCCCAGGGGGACCTACAGCCAACAACCCTAAGAAGGACGCGCGGGAAGGACGCAAGACCCTTAGAGGAGGAGGAGGAGGAGGAGGAGGAGGAGGAGGAGGAGGAGAAGGAGAAGGAGGAGGAGAAGGATGAGGAGGAGGAGGAGGAGGTGGAGGAGGAGGAGGAGGCGGAGGAGGCGGAGTTGGGATTTCTGGGGCGGCGGCCGACGAAAACCTCAGGGACGCAGGAGCAAGGAGGAGCAAGGACGCAGGGGTACCCCGAGCAAAGTCGCGCGTCCTCAGCAGGCTTTTCGACTGCACACGCTGCTCCTGGGCCCGGGAAGGGCCCGGCCCGAGGGCAGCGGGTGTGTGAAGACCTCGCTGCCCGGCAGCCGGCACCCGACGAGGCCCCGAGGAGGCCCCGAGGACACTCCCAGGCCGCCTGCGAGGGGCGCTGGAGAGATCCCCAGGTAGGGCGACGACATCTATACATATCCACTGCTCCCGGCCATGCCAATCCTGGGCCCAAGAGCTGTGTATACGCCCTCCTGGCTTGGCCAGGGAGGCATATGCACCGCTCCTGGGCCCGGGATGGGCCTGGCCAGGAGCAGTGGATATGCATAGATCTCGTCGCCCTACCCAGGGGCATCCGGGAGGCCTCCGACCTGCAACCGTGTGGCGAGAGCTGTGTCGTGGTGAGATTGGCTCCGGGTGCGCTCCAGGACTTCCGGAGTATCTGTGGCGCCCCTCGCTTCTGCAGCCCGTGTGGAACACTCGGGAATCTCGGAAACCCTGGACATCTCAAAACGTGCCATGATCACGATCTCTTGCTCCTCTGATGCCAAGGCTCGGGCCACTATCGGACCAGGGCCCCCCCCCGAAGGCCAACTGCTGTTGTCTCAAACTCGCCCTCCTCGTTGGCGCTCGATGCCCGAGACGAGGAGCGGTCCGAGGCGGAGAAGCCAAAGCAGGGTGTGTACCCCTGCAGTGCTGGGGCTGCTCTCGAGCCCAGCGCCAGCTGGAAGCACGGGGCCTGGCCCTCCGAGAAGGCATCGCGCTGCTAAGAAGGCCCCTGCCTTCTCAGAGGACCCCCGCTGCCTTCTTTTCGGTCGGGCGGGTCCCCCTACAGGCGGAGCTTGGGCGAAACATGAAACATAAAAGACAAATCAGAAGCAGCCAACAAACCAATAGAAACATCGTCCCCAGACAAGTGTTTGACTATTCTGGATCAGTCCTCCTGTAGAGGGACACGCCCGACTTAAACCTCCTTAGAAGGCCACCCACCTTTGGCCACCACGTTGCGTGCGCCGCCGATTCTCGGCGCCACGGCGCCCCGCTGGAAGTGCAAGACGAAGCCAACACCGGGATCAAACCGAGAATCTCTGAGGTAATATCGAGAATCTCTGAGATAAAATCGAGAATCTCTGAGATGAATCGAAAGGACAGATCGAGAAAATGGGAGGATAAATCGATCGACCAATTGGGCGAGGATAAATCGAGAACCTCTGAGATCTGGCGGCTCTGGAAGACGTCTCGGGCGCCGCGGCCTTCTCAGAGCGTTCCGGAACGCTCTGAGAGCGTTCCAGGACGCTCTGGAACGGATCTATCCTCGTCGTCGCCCCGTCCGAAAGTCGGGCATGTCCCCCTACAGGCGGATTTTGGATGCAAAATCAAAAATTGTCAAAAATCGTCCCAAGAGTATTTTTTGACTATTTCCGAATCTTCCTCCTGCACAGGGGCGTGCCCGACTTAAAAACCGATGGCCGATATATGCAGGCGGCAGGCACCCGATGTGGCGAAACCGCACGCTGCTCTGGGCGGCGTGGGCTCTCGGGCCCCTGCTCAGAGTCGATGGTCCCCCCCCCCCGGAGCCCAACTCCAGGTCTCCCGGATGGGGTCGGAGCGGATGGTGTCGGAAGATCGCGCCGCATCGCCGAGGCATCGGCAGTGCATCGGCGATGCGGTTCGATGTGGGGCCCAATGTTCTCCACGCCCACGTCGCCGATGCATCGCCGACGTCGCCAGTGCATCGCCGATGCGTCGCCGATGCATCGCCGATGCATCGCCGATGTATCGGCGATGCATCGCCGATGTATCGGCGATGCGGTGATCTCCTCCAACCCCATCTGCTCGGACCCCATCTGGGAGGCCTCTACTACCTGTAAGTCGGGCGTGTCCCTCTACAGGGGGGACGTTTAAATAATAATAATAATAACGATAATAATAATAATAATAATAACAATGATAATAATACATGAATAAATAAACAAATAAATAAATAATTAAATAAATAAACAAATAATTAAATAAAAAAGTAAATACATAAATAAATAAATGAATAAATAAATAAGTAAATAAATCAATAAATGAATACATAATAATAAGAGTAATAATAATACTAATACGCATGATCATAATAATAACAATGATGATACCAACAGCAATCATAATCATCATCATAATAATAAAAATCATACTATTAATCGTAATAGCCATAATCTTTTTTATAATAATAACAAAATAATCGGGGGCGATCTTCTGACTGTTTTTTGTAATATTTGTTTGGCCTTTTTTTGATTTGTCCAGAATCCGCCTGTAGGGGGACGTGACCGACGCAAGCCTAACTATCTCCGTCCCCGCTGGCTTCTGGGCCCGAACTCGGGCCTCTGGCGGCCGTTCGGGACGATCGCGGCACCCCCGGAGCGCCCTCGGCGCGGCGCAGCTGATGGAGAGCATCCCGAGACTGGAAAACCGCCGGGAGCCGTCGAAGCGTCCGAAAACCTGAAACCTCGATCGCGAAGCTTTCCTGAGCTCCCCTTCCGTCCGACCCGATCCTTCATGGTGGCCCGAGGCTGGTGGCAAGAATCGCAACTGCCAGCGCGGGCAGCTGGGCTGCGTGCGGTCGCCTTCTTGAGCGTGTCGAGCACCTGCCAACAGGACGTGGCAGCGGAACAAAAAAGCGGAACACAGGAATGGCTCTTGGCGGCGCGCACCAGGGGGTGGAGGGAGGGGGGATGGCTTCTTAGAAGGAGGCCGCTTCTTAGAAGGCGCCGGCCTCACATCTATAGATCAGGCCCGCACCTTCTGAGAAGCAGGGGTGCTTCTAAGAAGCCCTCCCCCCTCCCCCCACCCCTCTCTGCGCGTGGCTGAGGCTCGGCCGAGTCCGACAAAAATCTCGAGCCTCGCCCGAAGCCGGCGCCTCCCCCCCCCCCCGAAACGCTGCCCTCGCCGGGCCCCGCGCCGCGCCGGCGGCACGAAGGGAGCCCAGCCGCCGTGGCGCCGCGGACGGCTGGCCTCGGGAAGGATGGAGACTCGAGCAGAGACCGACCGTCCCAGCGTTCCTGTCGGCCGGCTGCGACTATCGGAACCAGAGGAGGTTCTGAGAGCGACGGCGCTGCACTTATAGAACACCAGGCCGAGGTAATTATCAAGACATGACGGTCTCGGCCCGACACCCTCTGAGAACCACGGCTCTCAGATCCTGCGCTGCTGGGCCCGCAGGCCAGCCCAGAGGAGGAGGAGGAGGAGGAGGAGGAGGAGGAGGAGGAGGAAAAGGAGGAGGAGGAGGAGGAGGAGGAGGAGGAGGAGGAGGAGGAGGAGGAGGAGGAGGAGGAGGAGGAGGAGGAGGAGGAGGGGGCAGGCCTTGTCAGCAGGCGGCGGGGCTGCTCAGAGAGCCCCTGAGGGACGCGGGTCCTGGGCCCCCCCGGGGCCTCCGCCCCGCCCCGGACCATCTCTCCCGTCCAGGGCGCAGTCCTCGCGCCAGAAGAAGGAGCACACAACAGGGAACGACGGCGCCTTCTCTTGCCACGGTGGGCCTGGGCCACAGGTGGGACACCATCCACCTGCGGAGCGGCCCGAGAACTGGAGCCCCTCTGAGCCCGAAGCGGCCCAGGTCCCCCGTCCCAGGGAGGGCCCCAGGAGCCCGAAAACAGCGAAGAGGCTCAGGGCCCGTTTCCCTGAGGGCCAGTTTCTCTGCGGTGGACAAGCCTCCCTACAGTAAACCACCCTTTAGTGAAAACGGCCTGGGGCCGAAACCGACGGACCTGGACCCGCAACAATGACGGCCGCGACGCCCCCTCGCGAACCGAAAACGGCCTATTCACTAATCGACGTGTCAGGGCAGGAGGTCTATCAACCTCCGAGCTTCCTACACGGCGGGGCCCGTCCTGGCGAGGGGCCCTGGCGTGCGGCCGCGGGCCGGCCAGCTGAGAAAGAGCGCGCCGCGGCGCCTGCTCCAGGGACCTGGCGCTCTGCAGCTGGAGCATCGAGGCCGAGCCGATCTTGGCCATCTCCCTCGTCAAGATGGCCTCGGCCGAATGTGCGCCCCAAGAGCAGCCAGGAAAGGGGCGGACTCGGATCGGGGCAACTCTGGAATATGTGAGACCGGGTGCCTCTGGAGGACGTGTCGGGCGCCGCGGCCGTTCCAGCGTTCTGGAACGCTTGCGAGGGGGAGGAGGTGGAGGAGGAGGAGGAGGAGGAGGAGGAGGAGGAGGAGGAGGAGGAGGAGGAAGAGGAGGAGGAGGGGGAGGGGGGAGGGGGAGGGGGAGGGGAGGGGGAGGGGGAAGGGGAGGGGGAGGGGAGGGGAAGGGGGAGGGGGAGGGGGGATGGGGAGGGGGAGGGGGATGGGGGAAAGGAGGAGGAGGAGGGGGAGGAGGAGGAGGAGGAGGAGGAGGAGGAGGAGGAGGAGGAGGAGGAGGAGGAGGAGGAGGAGGAGGGGAGGGGGAGGAGGAGGAGGGGGAGGAGGAGGAGGGAGGAGGAGGAGGAGGAGGAGGAGGAGGAGGAGGAGTAGGGGGAGGAGGAGGAGGAGGAGGAGGAGGAGGAGGAGGAGCAAGACTGGCTCGTCTGTACCCAGGGAGCCCGGGAGGGGTCCGGGGACCGATGTTGAGCTGCCGTTGAACCGTCGGTGGGAAAAAACATGTAAAAACAAAGGGTCAAGAACGCGTTGAACATAGATTGGGTTTCTGCCGGCGCTCTGAAGAGGAGGGCGTAGGGTTCGACTCTTGAAGTAGGAAGGCGCTTTAACATCGATTGGGACCTGCGAGCCAAACTATACCTTCTACGACCGGTGGGCAAGACACCCCTGGAACCTGCGAGAAGCCCCCTGGGCTTCAGGGAAGCCGCCGGCCCGTTGCCGCCATGGCGCCTGAGACCTCAAACCATGATAGCTCCGAGCCCCTTTCGGGTCGGACGTGGTCGGACGAGAGGGGGTAATTATGCAGAAAGTGGGGAGGAGGGGGAGGAGGAGGAGGAGGAGGAGGAGGAGGAGGAGGAGGAGGAGGAGGAGGAGGAGGAGGAGGAGGAGGGAGGAGGAGGGAGGAGGAGGAGGAGGAGGGGTACCGAATCGGCGAACGAAACCACTTTTCGGCCTCCCGGCGCCAGAGGAGCCGCTGTATTCCAGCGCCGGAGGAGCCGCTGCATCGAGGGGCGCGCCCTGGCGGCGGGCCCGAGACCGCTGCGCGCGACAGGCTTCACACCCTTCCCTTTCTAGGGGGCGAACAAACCTACCTCGCTTTTGACCACCCTCGCTTCCAAGAGATACCAAGCGATGCCAAACTACGGTCTGTACTGGTCAGGCCGCTCGACGGGAAGCGCGTGGTATGGCTTGGTTTTGCCTGGAAGCGAAAGCGGGGTAGGTAATTCACGCTCTGACTTTCGGCGGTGGACAAGTCTCCCTTTAGTAAACCTCCCTTCAGTGAAGACGGCCCAGGACCGAAACCGACGGACCCTGACCCGCAACAGTGACGGCCGCGACGCCCTCTCGCGAGCCGAAATCGGCCAATTCACTAGTCGACGTGTCAGGGTAGGATTGTGGATGCCATGACAATGGACACTCTAACAGTCCTGTCATCGAATTTAGAGTGTGTTTAAAATGGAGACTATCTGTTCTAAGCATGTTTCAAACATGTGTTTTACATGTTTCAAACACGTTTTTATATGTTTTAGACATCTGGAAATTATTTGGTGGCATGCTTCTGCTTCAGTAATCGACTTCCACAGGGGTACGAGGCCTATCCACCTCCGACCCTTGCCCCAGCGGGAGGTGGCCCCCGGGGGCCCGAATGTGTATCCACCTCCGACCCCAGAGGGAGAGCCGCCGCGGGGGCGGCGGCCGCGTGCGGCTGGGAGCGCCGCGGATGTGGTCGTCGTCGTCGTCGTCGTCGTCGTCGTCGTCGTCGTCGTCGTCGTCGTCGTCGTGGTCGTGGTCGTGATTGTCCTCCTCGTCGTCGCCGCCGTCGTCGACGACGCCGACGACGACGCCGACGACGACGTTGACGACGACGACGACGACGCCGACGACGACGACGCCGACGACGTTGACGACGACGACGACGACGACGACGACGACGACGACGACGACGACGACGACGACGACGACGACGACGACGACGACGACGGGACAGCTCCTCGCCGACTGCTCCTCGGGCCCTACCTCGGCGGCCTCCGGCGGCCGTGGCGGGAGGAGCGAGCCGGGCCCCCCCCCCCCCGCGGAGGGCCCCCCCCGGCGGCGCGGCGCGGCGCGGCGGGCCGCGCGCGCCCCGAGGCCGCAAAAAAGCCGCCGAGGAGCCGTCGAGACGCCCGAAGAGCCGAGAGGAGCCGCCGAGACGCCGCCGAAACGCCGAGGAGCCGCCGAGAAGGCCGTCGAAACGTCCGAGGAGCCTCGAGGCCGAGAAGCCGCCGCGGAGCCGTCGAAACATCCGAGGAGCCGCCGAAAAGCCGAGGAGCCGCCGAGGAGCCGTCGAGACGTCCGAGGAGCCTCGAGGCCGAGAAGCCGCCGAGGAGCCGTCGAGACGCCGAGAGGCCGCCGCAAGACCGGGGGCCGCGCCCGAGGCTTCCCTGCGCTCTCCCTGGCGTTGGGCCCGGCGTCCGCCCACGGTTCGGGCGTCGGCAGCACGGGGTTCGGAGTGGGGCCTGGTTCAGGGAGGTGCGCTGGGGAGGCCCCCCCCCCCGCCCCGTTCCGCTGCCCGGAACTGCCGTCACCCGAGAAAACACCAGCTACGGCAGACCTGGTTTGAGTGATTCTGGCCAATTTAAGGGCTCTGGGGCCCTACTACTGACCAGGTCCCCTTACCTGGTGTGGTGTACCTGCTATACCCCGAACTGTGGCCAGAGGCTGACGGCCAGAATCGCAGCTGCCAGCGCGAGCAGCCGAGCTGCGCACGGTCGCCCTCTTGAGCGTGTCGACCACCTGCCAGCGGGGCGCGCCAGCGGAACGAGGAGCAGAGCGCGAGAAGGGCACGGCAAGGCCGTGGCGTAACGATCCCTGGCTGCCCACGCTTTTCGCGTCGGCGGCTAGAACAGGGCTCCCGAGCGAAGTGAACCCCACCCTCCCCCTCAGAAATCGTGGGGGGTGGGGGTAGGGTTCGCATGTGGCCCCCTGAGGATCGGGGGCACCGTCCCAGCGAACTGTGCCACCGTGCACGAGAAAGGGAAAAAGCCGGGTACCCACACGTGCTCGCGCCGTGCACGACAACAAAAGCACGACGGCATATTCTTCGGGGCCGCTCCCGGCCCCCCAGGGCCCCTGGGCCCGAACCAAAAAGCGCCTCGGCGAGAGGAGGAGCTGGCCCTGTGGGTGGGCCCGAGGACGAGGAGGACGAGCGGGTGAGAGATCCGCCGACCCTGTCGGCGTGTGTGAGGGCTTTTCCATTCGAGCCGTCGTCGCCGCCGCTCCCCTCCCTTGGCGCTTTTCCGTCGTCGCCGCCGCCGCCGTCGCCGCTCCGCTTCCTGTCCCTGGGCCCTCCTCCTCAAACGTTCCAGCCAGAGGTTAATGTCAACCCGAATAGGAAGGATGGGCAACCCTCCCAAGGGTATCCTTGCATCCTTGCTTCCTCGGTCCATCCTTGGCCACTCTCGTCGGCCGCGCCCTGCTCGCAAATTGTCGACCTGGCCTTCCAACGATCCTTATCGTGCATCCTGTCGACATGGCTTCCAACCTTATCGTGTATCCTTATGATAAGGGTCGACTGAAATCGTGCAACGTCGTGATCGAGTCGAAGGGGATGCCCCTTCCCTTTGACGCCTCCCGCGCGGGAGGGGGGGGGTCCCGAGGGGGGTGGGGGCCCGGAGGGGAGGGGGGCACCCCTCCCAGGGAGAGGCTTTCCCCTTCGATGTCTTGCCACTCGGGCGCCTGGAGCTCACTTTGCACCGCGGCCTGCTCAGAGAGGGCCCTGAAGTAGCTCAACGTCGCTCCAACACGGCCGAAGGTGCCCTCCATAGGGCCTGAGAAGCCCTCAAGAGGGCCCAAGAGGGCTCCCCAAAAAGCTCAATGAGCCAAGCTGCGAAACCAGCGACTTTCATTTAGTTCTGATCTGTTTTCGGGGTCCTCGCCGGTTCGAGTTTCCGACGCTCCAAGACGGGCCAGGAAGCCACCAGCATCGTCCCTGGACGGTCCAGGAGACTGCTGAAAGCGCCCGAAAACAACTCAAGATGGCCCCAAGACGGCCCACGACAGCTCCAAGACCGCACAAGAGGCCCCCAAGACGGCCGAATAAGGCGTCAAGAAGGCTATAGTATGCTCCCGAGGGGGGGAACGCCAACCGAGATTTCGAGCACTCCGCCCCAAGAGGCGCCCGAAGCCCAAGAGGCCCCCAAGAGGCCCAAGAGAGCCCCAAGAGCACTTGCAAGACAACGCCACGAGGGCAACGTGTTTTGAATGCTTTTCGTCACCGCCGTCGTCGTCGTCGTCGTCGTCATCGTCCCCCTTCAGGGTCGATGTCAGCGACCGTAAGGCCTTGGCAACAAGACGTACACGAAAGACGATGGCCGAAGAGTTGTACTTTCCCCGTGGATGGTCGATGACCGCATCGCCTGCTTCGCCTCGGGTCCTGGCCTGCCTCTCGCACGCTCAGGCACGCGCAGCCGAACCCTCCGCTTCCGCTCAAGCTGGCACTGAACCGCGCGCGTGGCGTGCGCACGTGGACATGGGAACTGCCTGGAGGATCTCTCTGGAAGACAGTTGAGGAAGAAACACACACATAAACATAAGCCTTCGACGGTCCGCGCGGAACTCTTGGGTTTGCGCTGGGCCCCCCCCTCCCTGGCGCGCGGAACGCGCCAGGGGCGGCGCCTCCGGCGCCGCTGGGGGGGCCCAGGCACGGCGCGCCGCCAAGAACTCTGCGCGGAGCGCCAACAAGTTCTGTTCGTGGCGTTTTTCTTCTTCGACCATGGACGAAGGACGGGGAGGAGCGAAGCGAAGGCGGAGAAGGAACCGACACACGTCGGACCGCCGTGACGGACGGCTGCGCGGATTCGAGCTGGGCGCCCCTCAGCGTGCCGCTGGGGGATGGGGTACAGCCGGGGCTCGACCACAAGAACCCTTCCACGAGAAACACAACCCCGAGACTTTATGGAAGCCATCGGTGTTTGGCATGGGAACGTCGCGCTCTCCACCGCAAAAGCATCGAAACCCTCGAAACCCAGGGCGCCCTGGAGGCGAGCGGGGTGCTTCTTGGTAGGGGCCTCCACTTTAGGGTTAGGTCGGGGTGCCCCTGCAGGCGGATTTTGGAAGACATGTCAAAACTCGTCAAACAGAGACTCAAGCAAAAATTTAATGAATCGTCCCCAGACTATGATGAAACTATTTCTGAACACTCGCCCTGTAGAGGCACACGCCCGACTGAACCATGGCACCCTGGAGGCGAGCGGAGCGCTTTTCGGCAGGGGCCTCCACTGCATGGGGCCAAGACCGCGCTACCGGCGATGTTGCTTAACGGTGATGTTGGAAACCGAACCTCCCCATCGCTAGGACGTCCATTCACTGTGTTTTTTTGTTTCGGTTTCGTGCGTGGTGTTTTTCGCCAAATGATCAAGGATGCTCCTCGATGGTCCTCGCCGAGAAAAAAATGCACACGTCCGAGCGATGCCTGTCGGAAATCACGAGCCACGGTTTCCCACAGCTCCGACCTGCGGACGAAGCCCGCACGAAAGCGCCACAGCGACTTGTGCAGGACAGCGCGAGCCGCGCGCTCCCACAAGCCCGAAGCCTGTGCATCGCCGCTGCCTGCCTCGCCGCCAGCGCGTCTGCGGAGGGGGGCCCCTCCTCCGCAGACGCGCCAACGGCGACTGGGGAATCGGAAGCGTTTGATGTCCTCACCGATCTGGAACCGCCAACATGTCGTAAGAAAACAGCGCCAGCATCACTGACGCCGCAGTGCGAACCTACAGAATCGACGATTTTGTGCCCTTGAACTGCGGGAAGCTGGCGCCCCGACGCCCCTCCTGTAGAGGAGAACCGATCGTGCCCCCGCGGCGATTCCAAGAGGGGGGGGGGGGGCGAGGGCAAGAGGCTGCCTCCACCAGCTCCTTCTCCTCGGCGGCGAAGTCGGACTCCGCGCGGGGGGGGGGGCGGAGGAGGGAGACGCTGCAGTAACGCGGCCAAGAAACAAGGAGAGGGAGAGGAGGAGGAGGAGGTGGAGGAGGAGGAGAGGGAGGAGGAGGAGGAGGAGGAGGAGGAGGAGGAGGGGAGGAGGAGGAGGAGGAGGAGGAGAGGAGGAGGAGGAGAGGAGGAGGAGGAGGAGGAGGAGGAGGAGGAGGAGGAGGAGGAGGAGGAGGAGGAGGGGAGGAGGAGGAGGAGGAGGAGGAGGAGGAGGAGGAGGAGGAGGAGGAGGGAGGAGAGAGAGGGGAGGAGGAGGAGGAGGAGGAGGAGGAGGAGGAGGAGGAGGAGGAGGAGGAGGAGGAGGAGGAGGAGGTGGAGGAGGAAGAATAAGAACGATGGTACTGAGGGTACTCATGATGCGGGGTGAGTCTGCATCCCCTGGCACACAGGCCAAAACAGCAGGAGGCTGGCCTACGCCCTTCTCCTCATCCCCATCGACAGAGCCATCCTCCCGCCAGCGCTGGTTTCTCTCCCAAATGAAAAGCGCCGAATATCGAGATCGTGCAGTCTAGCAATACGGTGGAGAGCAAGCACAGGAGGAGGAGGAGGCCGAGGAGGAAGAGAAGCGTGAGCAAGAAGGGGAGGGGAGGAGGAGGCGGAAGGCGGAAGAGGAGGCACGGGATAAGGGACGGGAGACGGGAGAAGGGGGAAAACACGGGGAGGGGAGAGCCCGCAACAACCGGACCTTGCTGCAATGCACGTGAAGGCCACACGGCCAGCCAAAAGACTCGGACTCCAAACATGTGAACTAAAGGAACAGAAAACGGCACATATATAAAGAAACCATGGGATCAAGTCGGGCCTCAGGAGGAATATTCAAAACTAATAATTAAAAAATTGTCTGGGGGCGATTATGTATCTTTTGACTATTGTTGAAAACTTTTTGAATTTGCTTGATTCTTCGTCCAAAATCCGCCTGTAAAGGGGATGCTCGAAATAGTCCTGGGAGATCCGCGCGGATTTCTTGGATCCGCGCTGAGCCCCCTCCCCGGGGCGCGGGCGGCGCCGGAGGCGACGCCATGGGGGGGGCCCGGCGCCGATCCGAGAAATCCGCGGGGACCGCCGCAGACTTCTGCCTATGCAGTTTTCCGTCGATTTCTGAGTCGGCGTTTCGACATTGGGCGGCAAAGGGGGGGGAGGGGGGGGTCTGGCTCTGGACCTCTGCTTAGTGCGACCGTTTGCAAGAGTTCTGTCTCTGGGGGATGGGCTCCACCCGCTCGAAACAGACGCCCAAAAACAACCAAGGTCAACTCCATGGGGGGGGAGGGGGGTGCGAGGGCCCGCGCCGATCGGCAAAACACTGAATAACAAAAACGATAACATGTACGTCTGCTTCTGCTGCTTCGGCGCCGTCGGCGATACATCCGCACCGTCGGCATGGAAAACATCGGGCTCCACATCGAGCCGCATCGGCGATGCATCGGCGATGCAACGTGATCCTCCGACCACATTTACTCCGACTCCACCTGGGAGACCTGGAGTCTCACTTCCCCGATCGGGCCTCTACTGACCCGGGTCAATGCAGACCCCGGTCAGTCAGGCTCTGCAAGGCCCTTCAAAATCCTCTAGGACCCTGCGCGCTAGCCCAACACCGCAACACCTTCGGAGGTTGCTAAAGGTGCCCCTGGCCCGAGGTGCTCACAGCTTTCGCTCCATTTCGGAGCCCCTGGGGCCCTCCGGGCCTCGTGAGGGGTGCTCTGGAGGCCGTGGGGGCCTTCCTTGGAAATCCTGGGGGCACCTTGCTGTCTACGAGGCCCCCCAGAGGGGCCGCATCCAAAACTTGCATCCGATTTTGCTTGGCGGCCCTCAGGGAGGGGCCACGCCGCAATCGAGCCCCAAACCTTACTCAACGCTACCTCCGGAAACTGCGGAACCACCGGCGGCGCCATCGCTGCCATTGGTCGAGGCTTGACAGCCCTAGGAGCATACATGCGATAGGCCCTTGGGGCTCAGCAGGGCCAGGAGACAAACAAGTGACACACCACGGGGTCTAACAGGCCCTGGGGGCTAACAAGTGACAAACCCCGAGGACAGGTGACACGCTGGCCCCGGAAGCAAACAGGTTACAGTATCATCCAACGACCAGCTCCAATTGTATTGTCGTTATGGCAACTGGTGTTTTTTCGCGTCTGCGCCCGAACGGCGCCTCTGTGCCTGGGCGTTGATGTTTACGTCACGTCTCGGGCGCCAAATCTATGCAAATGTTTGATTGGTACGTCTGGCTCATGTCTGCTCTGGTGTCTGAGCTAGCAGTGCTTGCGGATTTCTTGGATTCGCGTTGGACCCCCAGGCGGCGCCTCTGGCGCCGCCCTTTGCGCGCTCCGCGCGCCAGGGAAGGGGGGTCCAGCGCGATTCCAAGAAATCCGCACGGAGCGCCAGAAGTCTATGTGTACGTGGTTTGTTCTTCTTCGAGAGTTGACGCAGAGCGCATGGCTCTGTGCCCGCCCACGCCCCTCCCCGGAGCCCGAGGGGCCAGCCGTCCTGCTCCTTCGCGCGGATCTCGGTAGCGGCCTGCGCGCGGGCTCGAGCCGATGCATGCTGAGACCAAGGCGCGATCACGAAGTAGAATACGTTCGCGCGAGGTGCCTTGCTCGGTGCGCGAGCCATGCTGTAATGAGCGCTGGTCGCGCGAGCGCTGCCCGCAGGGCGCAGCTAACAAGACACGGGCACCCGAGGTGGCGCGGCGGAGCGCGGGGGCACCCAGATCGGCCTGCCCGGAGGTGGGGAAGAGTGAATGGGGCCCAGGGACACACACACACACAACAAATACTCGCAAATCCCAGAACCTGTTACTTATATGTGTGTGCACCTGTTCTTGATTTCCGTCTTCCCCCCCCCACTTCCAGATTCTGCCATGGACGATGATTTGGGCCTGTGCATCCTTCCCCTCCTGTAAGGGAGGGGAGGCATGACTGCCTGCCCTCCCTCAGTGAGGGAGGAGAGGCAGGAGGCAGGAGCGAGCGGCGAGGCAGCCGACTCGGAGGCTGTTTTTTGTTGCCGAGGCAACCGCTCGCCACCGCTCGGACGCCCACTCCCTGTGTTTTTTTGCTCGGTCTCGTGCGTGGCTTTTTTTCGCCACATGATCAAGGATGCTCCTCGATGGCCCTCGCCGAGAAAAAATGCACACGTCCGAGCGATGCCTGTCGGAAATCACGAACCACGGTTTCCCACATCTGAAGGGGAACTGGGACACACAAATAAATACACACAAATGAAAGGATGCCCCATATTTTCCCATATTTCCTGGGTTTTTGTATTCCCCCCCACTTCCCACATGTTTTTCATATTTTCTGGGGAATCGACGATTAATTGTGTCTGTGTGTTTCTTTTCCTCCTGAACATCTCCGATCTGCCGACGATGCCGGGACCGAGCCTCGCGCGTGCCGCCCAGCGCTGCGCGACGCGCGCGCGCATCCTCGCGCCCTGCGTCGCCCCCCCCTCGAGAGGTGCAGGCCGCCGGCCGTGCTCGCCGGGCATCCCCTGACCCGGGTCCACCCAGACCTGTCCTCGATCCTCCTCCTCCTCTCCCCCTCCTCCTCCTCCCCCTCCTCCTCCTCCTCCACCTCCTCCTCCTCCTCCCCCTCCTCCTCCTCCTCCTCCTCCTCCTCCCAAACCCGGGTCCACGGGAAAGATCCTGCAAGACCCTGCAGGATCCTGCAGGATCCTGCACCCAAACCCGGGACAATGCGACCCTGGCCCTGCAGGATCCTGCAAGATCGGACGCTCTGGCTGACCCCCCGTTTCCATTGACCCCCGTCTCTTGAGCCCCGATGCTCGTCCCCCGATCGCTGTCGCTGGGCGGAGCGACCCGAAGGGCGCACAACCACTGCTGAGAACACCCCGAGGCGACGAGGCCTGGAGCAGCCTGGGGCAGGTCAGGAGTGCAGTGGTCATGGTACCACAGAAGGGGCGGAAACAATTACACCAAAGAAGAATTCCAATCAATGGACGGTTTTGAATCGTGGGATCGATGAAGAGATCGATAAGGAGATCGACTGGGAACCCGGGAACCCTGAACCCACCGAAATCGGACCGGAACCAACGACCAGGAACCCTAAGCCCGGAATCGGGAACCCGGGAACCCAGCTGGCCACCAAAATCGGCGGGACACTTTCGCCGAATCTTGTAATTTACGCCATGACCCCTTCAGTGCAAGCACTGATTGGGGAACAAAAAGGAGCACAGGGGCTTTCCTAGCCTCGGTGAGCATCGGCCGCCCGACCTATAGATCTAAGGAGCGGCCCCAGCATCAGAGCCACTCCTGAGCCCAACCAGAGGGGACCTCATTTCAAAGCCACCGCTGTACCTGAGAGCTACCATAAAGCAGCTCTATCGCGAACGCTATGAACAGTTAGCAACAGCGGCACAGCACGCGTGGACGGACTGGCATGTGAGGCACGAACCACAAATGGAAATAACACTGCGCACAGAGGATGTGCCGTAGAAGAACCGAACGCAAGCATAATACGAAATCCGATACCAATAGACCAGAACAAACAACTGTGAACCATGTTGCGAGAAGCATTAGTCGCGCATGCGCCCTGTCCCAATCGTGAACACACCGTCGAACGTAGGTACCGCATGTCTACGATACCCTGCAGGTCACATACCATTCAACTGGCAAGCAGCATAGATATGCTGGAACGCTTGGGAGGGTGAGCTGCCTTCAGGTCGGCCTCGTCTAACGCAAGCTCTGCAGCAAGTTCCTCGCGAGTCATTCTATCCACAGCGAGAAAAACACTGCTCCCCTGTGTCTGACCCCCCCCCCTGGGCAACGTCGCTGTGCGAGCTTACTGTGAACAAATAGCGAATGAGTGGAAAGCAACATGAAGCCTGTTCCCCGCTGCTTCCGGAATGCCTACTATGCCTACCACACAAAGGTCCTCGATCTTGGTCTCGTACGCCGCGATGTTGGAGGCTTCCTTCTCGATGGTCGCCTTGCAACGACCGTGCCCCCCCCCCCAAGGGTTGCACAGCGCGCTTCAGACCCGCGCGCTTCCCCCCCCTTTTTGGCCCTGGCGTCTCGCTGCGCAATGCCCTCTTGACAAACTGGGACGCGTGAGCTCAGGGTTGCCCGAAAGGACCCCCCTTCTTTCACCTCCCTCTCCCCTCCCCTCCATCCCTCCGCTCCATCCCTCCTCCCCCTCCATCCCTCTCCTCCATCCCTCTCCTCCATCCCCTCCATCCCTCCCCTCCATCCCTCCTCCCCCTCCTCCACTCTCCGCCTCCTACCTTTCTCCTCCCCCTCCCCCTCCTCATGCCTCCTAGCGGGAAGGGTCGGCGGGTCTGGCTCAGGCTCATGGGGGGAGAAGCACCGAGCTGGAATCGGCGGGCGATACATCGCCCACAGATGGAGGAATGAACACCCGATGGCGAAACCGCACACTCCAGGGTGGGGCTTACCGGGCCCCCATTCCGGCGATGCAACAAATCAGCGATCGGGCGTCGACGCGTCCACACTGAGAGCCTGTCCTCCCCGGTGGTCCTCGTCGTCGAGCTCTCGGGGCGCCTCGGGCGGCCGTCCGGGACGACAAGGGGGCCCCCTCCTGGCGCCTTTCGGCGAGGCGCAGCTGCTGGAAAACGCCACGGGGCCGGCAGACGGCTGAAAGCGTCCGAAAACGTCGAACCTCGTCCGAAACGGAACTAAAGCTGAGCAGCTGCTCCTGATCTCCGTCCTCCTCTCCCCCCCTCGAAAGGAGCACACAGCGGCGTCACTGGCCAGGCGGGCGGGCGGGGGGCCTTCAGGTCCGCAATCTCGCCCTGCGGAAGCGCGAGGACAGGGAGGGGAAGGAGGGGGGAAGGAACCACAGGGCGATAGGAAGAGGAGGAGGAGGAGGAGGAGGAGGAGGAGGAGGAGGAGGAGGAGGAGGAGGAGGAGGGGGGCGAGGTGACGCTACAGGTGCACTCGTTCGCCTTCTAGCCTGCTTGAGGGAAAGGAGGGCGAGGATGGAAGACTCAGGAGATGGCCTGGGAGGACGAAAAAACGGTTACTCGGAGTGACCCTGGGCACGAACGACATTGGGTGCGCGACCTTAGGTGCGAGGCCTTGGCATAGGCTCGCACCATAAGTTAATTGACCGGATGTCCATTTCTACGCGTAGCCGGAACAACGCGGGTAAGGAGAGAGGGGGGTGATGGTGGGGGGACAAAAACGAAAAATGGAGAGCGAGAAGGAGCAGGAGACGACGACGGGGGCAAAGGAGGAGGGCAAGCCTGGAAAAGACATATCCCGATCTCCTCCTCCTCCTCCTCCTCCTCCTCGCAAACCTATAGGGATGAATAATGGGAAGAGCAAGGCGATGAACGCTTTGGGGGCCGTCTTGGGGCCCTCTCGGACCGTCTTGAGCGTCTCCCGGGCCGCCGTCGAGCGCTTTTCGGCTGTCTCGGGGCCCTCCTGGAAGCCTCCTGGGATGGTTCGGGGCGGTGTTGGGGGCCTCGCGGGACACCTCTGGACGTCTGATAACCGACGAGCGAGAACCCAACCTCCCTCAAATACTTCGAGAGACATTTGAATTGTGCCTATGGGGGGGGGCTCTTGGAAGGCCTCTTGGAAGCCTCCTGGGGCGCCCTCGAAGCCCCTCGGGCCATTTTGATGCCCTCTTGGGCCGTCTCGAAGGCCGCGCGGGGCCCCCGGCCCGTCTCCCAGCAATCTCGAGCTCGAATAAATCACGGTACAGTCCACGGGAGGGCCCAGGGGAATCGCGACGAGGCCTGCGAGCTCCAGGCCCAAGGAGTAGGCAAAATGCAAGAAAACGCGCCTACTCCGTGCCCAGAGGCACTGCGACGAACGCGTCGATCCCAAACGTAGCTGGGGCACGCGCTGCGGGGCCCCAATTTGGAATCATATATGGCGCCATGCCTACGGACTTTTCGGGTGGTCAGGAAGAGGGCGAGGGAGGTACTGCCACTATGGCGCCCGCAGATCGCGCCTGCGACCTGGCGCTCGCCGGCCAACTTCTGGAGCGACGCGCCAGCGGCAGCCGCTCCATGGCCAACTGAAGGACGCAGTCTGTGAGCGATAGCGCGGTGACCTGTGCAAACGCTCCGCGGCGTAGCGCGCGTACTCTTGGCAGCCGATCTCGAAGCTTCGAAACCCAGTGCGCAACATGCCTACGAACAGGTCTAGCCGGTGGCATTTCCCGTCCGAGATGCCGAAACCAACTCTTCGCAACAAGCCTGGGTCGATCTGCTTTGCCCCAAATCGAGAGAGGGCCCTCCTGGCGTTGGCCGGTCAGCCAGGCTTCTCAAGCTTGAAGAGCAGGCCTGGCGTTCTGACGTCCTACGCGAATATGTACGCTGCGCCGTGCAGGTTGCACGAATGATACATGCGCGTGACAGTTCATTGGGACGCGCTATCGTCTACAATCGCAAATGGCATGACATCGGTGCAATTGCTGCGTACACGCGCTATAGCACGATCCGTGAGGATGGGGTGCGCCATGTGGTTGCGTGCGTGCATCCAGCCAACAGGCCTTGCATTGTGCGCGTAAGTATGATTCGGCATCCGTGTGCCTTGATACCCCTGGACGCACGACTCAAGCAAAAACACTGCCAAACGTAATGGGCACTACAATGGCCTCGCTTCCACCATCAAAGCTGAAAACAGCATGTCCTCAAAACACTCCCACATGTCCAGCACACAGGGCGAAGCGTGCTTTCCCAGGTGGTGCGCCAACTCGGTCTGCAAATTGCGCTCAGAAGTCAAATGCGCCGGCGAATATCCCCTCTTGTAGCCCCAGATGCGCGGACGACCTGGCGTGCTTACCCGCTGTCGTGATACCTATCTGAGAACGCTTGGCCACGCGCGCACCATTCTTCCCGCGAGGGTGACCGCCCTCACTTCATTCACAATTCCGTGCGTCGGCCATCTAAGCATGCGCATGCTGGGCATGCGCAGTATAGCCAACACCTCGAGCCCGGCACCCGATACAAATATGAAACTACGAGGGCGCATCCTCGCATTGCCAACTACAACTTTCCATGCAAATGACAGGGCAGCTTTACGAATACCGGACACTGGAATTTGACGGCAGAGTTGCCCGATCCCCAGTCCGCTCTGGCATTAGCATGCCGTCCATATCATTGCATGCCCAAGACCTTCTCCATTTCCACGATTCATCATGAAACATCTGCTATGGTGGTGTACGCGTGATATTGCATACGTTGACAAGACAGAGCTCTTGCTCGAGAAGCCCGATGGGCCTTGGCAGTAAAACTTTGAAATGCGGTGCCGATGCATTCCCACTACTGTTTCTCACTTTCCTGGTGTCTCCTAGAATCAGCAACCCTCATCAACGATATCGTAAGCAAGCCGTTTGCACTCTGGGTGCGAGAATGACTCCAGGCCAGCTTCGAGGACAAACAAAAACCCTCGTCTGCTGGCCAAGCATCTGCAGCCCCTCAATCATGCAAAAAGAAAGAACCAACGAAACCGTTGTGCAGATCCGGCCAAATGAATAGCAGGTCGCGAGGCATGCCTGCGATCATCCCCGTCCAGCGGTCCACCTCACCGTCGCTTGCGCACATGTGACCGGGGCGCTTCAGAATCGTCGAGCGCCACTGACGTCCATGGTGACGCGTGGTCTGGCAGACTGGCACGGTTGATGGCGGCTCCGATCCCCGTCCCAAATTCGCCAACAAGCTGGATCCAGAAGGCCCTTGGTCGCGCGATGTGCCTGGACCATCTGGCCTGTGCTATCCACGCGCAAGACGCGCGCTGGCCCGCGCCTTTCCCCAGCTGCGCCAGGCGCCCCACGAAGCTTCCAGAAACTTTGTCGTGACTGGTCCGCCGCGTCCGATGCACGGCGCAGCCGCCGCGTCGATGGCGCCGCGTCGGCGCGAAAGCTATTGCACCAAACCCGAGACTGACATGCCCCATGCATGTCGTAGGCGAAGCTCACTTCTCATCGAGATCATGATTCCCTTCGCGCCCTGACACTCGATGGATGCACGTAAGCATCCGGCGCGTGGACCTGTTGGCATTGCTTTGGGGTCCACTGGGAAAAAGAACCATGCTTCTCGGAGGCCATCCCTGGAGGGCATGTGCACTGGCATGTGCGCCGGCAAGCCAAATTCTTGATCGACTAACGGAACACTTACCTTGGTTGCCAATAAAGACGATCTGGCGAAATTAGCATACAAGCGCCCGTTCGTGAAATTTCTTGTCAAGCAAGTTGCCTGCAATAGAGCGCTGAATCTACTGCGTAGCTGAAAGACCGTCGAAGGTATCAGAACCCACGCCCCAATGTCCTCGGACAGCCCAGCACTTCCACGTCATTCAGTCGTCCTTGATAGTAGACAAGAGTTTGCAGCATGTTCTGGTTGGCCCGATCCAGTCCCACCTGCGGACACGGCAGCGACCCCATCTGCCCCCCCCTCCCCCATGCTACGCTTACTGCGGCCAATCGTCGTGTTCAAAATACCACAGACTCCAGTGCTGGGGGCGAGGCGACCTTGAAGTAAGTCCGCGCAAGCACGGCAACCCCCAATGGCAATCCATCCGCTGCTGTTCGCACCGCTGGACCGCAGAAACCACGGCGCCCCAGCTGGCGTTGCACTCAATCGAAGGCAGCGCGGTGCCATCATACTGCTGTTCCTGAACCAGGACCACAATGGACGCGCAACGTTCGTGATGCGTCGGTAATTAGCGGGCCAGCGTTGTCTACTTTGGTGGTGGTGACCAGTCCCCGAGACTTTCAGCGCGCCTCGCTCTGCTCCTCCTTCGCGCAGGCGTGCTCGACAGTGGCGGCGGCGGGCCTGCGCGCTTTCCATGTGATCCTGGCCGTCAAGGTTTCTCAGCCGCGTCGGCCGAAAGCGCGCGCGCGCGGGCGGGGGGGGGCGGGGAAAGGGGGGCGGGGCGGACGGCGCGGGGGGGGGGAGGGGGGCGCGAGGCGGGGCGGGGCCCCGCGCGCCCCGCGCATGGCCCCGCGGGGCAAAATTGCGGGAGCCCCCGCCGACTGGCCCGCCCCTCGCAATTGAGCCTGAGGTGGAAGTTATTAAAATAGCCGCGGAACTTTCCTGCGCCCCCCCCCCCCCCCCCCCCCGACTTTTAGCCGCAATTTCATGTCGAAGAGTCGCAGCGGGATTCGCCCCTCCCGTCGTCTTAGCATTCTCTGGGCCGACAAGGTCGGGCCGCAGACCCCACGACGACGCGCGTGTTCCTGGCGCCGCCGCCATCGATGCGGCGGACGAAGCAATTGCCGTAGTTCTGGTTGGACTCACCCAACCTCCTCCCGCCGATATCCCTGCAGGGGCCCCCTCGCCGACCTCTGAACGTGCTTCGCAATCATTGCGAGGGCCCAGCGGCGAAGTCGGGGCACCGTCGTCGCCCGTGGGCCACCCCATGCTCGCGTGGCCCTGGCCAGCCTGTTCACTTCGCTGGATGAATTGAACTGCGTTGTTTGCTGCTCTCGGCACGTTGGCAACGCGCAGCGGCCACCGCGCGCGTAGTCCAAGCGACGCGAGAGCGGCTGGAACGCATTTATTTTCGATCTCCGCCGGCAGCTCCCCGCCCGGAAAGGACGCCCCTAGCGCTGGTTGCGCGGGCTCTTTCCCTGCTGGGTGACTGGCTGCAGGGACTGCAAGCTGCGCGCCTGCCATCTGCCAACTCCCGACTGCTTGAACATGTTTCCCAGAGCCGTGCAAGTATAGCTGAGCGCCGCGATGTGCGCTGCTTTCCTTCTTTCAAACGGTGGCGCTGCATTCTTAGCGAGCTCGAGCAGCTCGTCGCGCGGCGCCTGGAACATTGCCTCTTCCTGTGCCAGCTCCTTCTTCTTTGATGACTCAGGTTTGGCGGAACTCACCAACGCGCCGCCGCTGCGGCGTTGGTTCCAGCCTGCAACTGTCTCCACTCAGCACGCGTGGCGGCGCGCAGTGCGCCCCAATGCTTGGCTGTGCCCGCTCTGGCCCAATCCAGCCGACCGCCGAATTCGCGGCTGCGCGCTCGCGCGCGCACCCTGTTCGTCGCCAAACCCCATGTCATTGCCATCGAGAACCATGTCATCATCATTCTTCCTGGCGGCGGCAGCCTCTGGCTCCATGATCTGACGAGCCTGGGCCTGCCGACGCTGCGCAAGCATCTCGCATGGTTTTGCCGACGTGCCCAATCTGGCGGCGCCGGTCAGTTCACGCCGCGGGCGCTGCCGCAGGGTGCCGCGGGCTCGTGGTGGATGAAGGAACAGGCCCTTTTACTCCGATTGCAACTCCTGCTGATCTCGCGCGTGGAATCGCCCGCCGCTCGATTCGCGCCAGCAAGCCTGCGCGGCCGCGCGCGCCCATCGTTGCCCATGTGGCGACGATGCTTAGGTCGCGCCGGCGGCGCAACCTCGCTTTTCCCTCGGCGCGCCGTCTTCGCCGGAAGCCGCGCCAAGGCGGGGGCCGATCGCGGCCCGTCGCGCCCCCCGCGCCGGGGGCAATCGATCCGCGCGGGGAAGAGGGGGGGGGGGGGGGGCGAAGGGCGAGGAGGGGCAGGGGGCTGCGCAAACGCGGCCCAAATGTGGCCGAACAGCAGGAATACCGACTTCAATGAGCATCGCTCCACCGACCCCTATCCCCACGGGCAGGGCCCCGCCGGCCGATTTACCTCCCCTGACGGGGCCGCAGACTGCCCCCCCCAGGTCTCGAGGTGTACATCCCCAGCTAAAGCGATGGGATGGCGGGGGGCCAGGCGGGGGCGGGAATGGATGCACTCGCTGTTCAAAGCCTCCATCTCTGGTCTCGCCGCCGCCCACCGCGGGCGCGGCACGGCGCGGCCGCGGGCGCGAGCCGCTCGCGGGCCGCGGGCCCGCCCCCGGCGCGGGAGGGGGGGGGGGCGGGGGGGCTGATTGGAGAAAGTGCAAGATAGAAAGCCGCGCGAACGCGAATTTTCAGAGCGCGCCGCGGACCCCGCCAGCCCGCTGGGCGGAAGCGTTTCAGAGAGCCCCCCCGTGCACCCCCCCTCCTTCCTATTCGGGGGCGGGCCCATCGCTGCCCCCTATTATTGGCGCGCCCCCCCGCCCCCTGCCCGACTGGCTGCCTGCCCGGGCCCGCGCGGGCACCTGCGCGCCCCCCCCCCCCCCTCTCCCCCGTGCCATTCCGATGCAAGAATGCGAAATGCAGTTGTTCTTACATCTGAAGGATTCGCGGGCGCCCCGCGACCATTTTGCACGGGCTTTTGACGGGGGCGGCGGTGGCGCCCGCGCGTTGCTCGCCGCGCGCGGGCCGCCGCCCCCCCCCCCCCCATCCCCCGCATCCGGGCTTCAAAAATCGCGCGCTTCTTGCGCCGACGCTTGGATCGCGCGAGGGACGACGCGACCGCTTCGCCGCAGTGTTTGGCGCCCCCCCCCCCCCCCGATCTCGGAGTTTGACGGCGTCCACGAACGCTTAGTCCACTGCGTGTTCCCGCGCATCCCTGATCAGGGCAACTCGCCCGGGCGTTGTTTTTCCGATGAGTTGATGAGGTGGCGCGAAGTGCACGGGACTTATTGGATACGCGCTGGACCCCACTCCTTGGCGCGCGGAGCGCGCCGGGGGCGGAGGGCAGGGCGCCGCCGAGGGGTCTCAACGCAGGTCCAAGAAATCCACGCGGAACCCGAGAAATTGATGTTAACGCAGTCTGCGTGGGTCGTCTTCTTCTGCGTGTTCTTCGTCTTTTCTTCGAGGGGCGTTTTTCATCGTCGCCCATCGACCCCAGGGAAAGCAGAACCACGCAATGCATGTCTGGATGGAAGCATTGAATCTGATGGCATACACTGGGCGCCCCCGTCGCAGGACACGGGGCCCCCTATGCTCGCCCGAGTTGGGCGCGCCACGCCGAGCGGGCTCAACGCGGCAAGCCCGCGAGCAGTCTCTCTCGGCTTGCTACAGACCCGATGGTATGGGGGCCACGTGTCTCCCTGCCCTGCTCGACGCTGCTGGCCTGCTACAAGGCCTCTGGTTATCTGTCAGCCGCTTCGCCGGTTTCGCATTCATCCTCGGGGTCAGGTGACTGCGAAAAATTGGTCGGCGGGGCGCTGGGCCCGCTCTGCGCAAAAACGGCAGCGACAGCGGGGTCCGCATGCTGAGAATTCGAAGCGGAAGTGAGGGGCGATAACGAACTCGCAGGAGCTTGACATGCGCAGCTGTCAGGGCGCAGGACGAGGAATTTTGTTTTGATGGCCGAGGACACTGTCACAATCAACCATCATATTTAGCTGGCTTGAGGCTGGCAGGGAGGGAGCGACTGTGCACGAAGGAGACAGGACGTAGTCTCAAGTTTTGTTCGCGAGCGTATCCACCCGGGCGCCCGGCCCCTCTTCGAGCCAGCCTGGCGGTGCCACCCCCACCATCAAGCGGGCGATTCCCTCCACTCGAAAGGCCTGCAAGACGGCCGATCTGAACGACCATGTGTACATCGTGATCTGGAGCTTGATGTGCTGCTTGTCGTGGCAAGTCTCGAGGCGAAGGAATGCGATCGAGTTGTCGATGCCCGTCTTGGTGGTGGTGGCCTGCTGACCCTCCGCCGCGGGCTGGACGCTGTTGAGGAATGCGGTGGGGTCGTTCTTCATGGCGCCGCCGACGTCGCACTGGGCTAGGCTCTCGACCGTGGCGACTACAAGTCTCGCGATAAATGGGCCTGCGCTGCATAAGTGGTAGTCCTCGGCGGATCCGTTGCCGCAAGGTGCCCAGCTTTTTCTTGCACAGGTCGAGCTCGCCCCCGACTGCGACCACCACATTGTGAGATATCGGCAGCTGCACCGTGTCCATGGTGCTGGCTTGATTCGCCCGCGCACGCTGGGTCGTCTGCAGGAGGAGTTTCGCCATTGTCAGGATCAGGTCGAGTAGGTTGCCGTCCTTGCTGCTCCACTTCTTGTCGCTGTGGACTCCTTGACGGCGACGTCCTCCGCGCCGACGGCGCAGAGGTGCCTTGTCGCCCGCCTTGTCCTGCTTACCGTCCACCAGCATCGCCTCGGATGAGGTCGCGCCCCCGTCGCCCACCTTTTGCCGAACTGCTCGTTGCTATTCGTTCGGCCTGCTTCCTGCTCCACCACTCCCGGGCGCTTCCAAAGAATGGGCAAGCGCCACGATGCCCTCGGCAGCTGTTCCGCCATCGTCAGTAACGGTTGGTGCCGATGGAATCCTGGTCGACTGTCGTCTTGCAATCGGTGCCGAGGTGTTGGGTGCAACCGCGCACGCCAATGCAGTAGCAGGTGTAGCAGACGATGTTGCCGATGTCGCTGCGGGCGGTGAGGGTGGTCTCGCACGAGTTGTCCTCATCGCTGACTGTGAGGCGGGGTGAGCAGGAGGCGGTGGCGGTGTGGTCGAGGAGGAGGAGGAGGAGGAGGAGGAGGAGGAGGAGGAGGAGGAGGAGGAGGAGGAGGAGGAGGAGGAGGAGGGAGAGAACGAGGATAATCACGATAGCGAAGAAGAAGAGGAATGTTGGCAGCAAGCAAGCGGGTCCTGAAGGGGCTGCCCCCTGGACCCAACGGCCCTCCCCCCCGGGGCCAACTCTTCGTCCAACATCGTTTCTTGATGATCCTGGGGCCGCGGGGGGGGGCACAAAGCTCCCGCAAACGGAACACAACCCCACGACCCGTCTCCGTCAGGACCCACCTTCATGGCGAGAGGAGGGGGAGGAGGAGGAGGAGGAGGAGGAGGAGGAGGAGGAGGAGGAGGAGGAGCACGAGGAGCAGGAGGAGAACGACTATGATGAGAATGATGGCGATGGGGGGGAGATGATAAGAGGAAATGGGAGGACGAGCGTGAGGATGAACAGGAGGAGGACGAGGAGGAGGAGGAAGAGAGTAGGAGTAGGAGTAGTAGGAGTAGGAGGAAGTGGAGGGAGGGAGGAAAAGGACGACGAAAAGGAAGAGGAGGCCCGCGACCAAAACGAGGACGAGGCGCTGGCCGCGCCTGGGACGTCTTGATCTGGAAACCCAGCTGGCGGGCCTCGTC